TAGGAGAAAGAAAAAAATATAATGGGACCTGGGGACTCAGGCGAATTCTCTGTCAAGTTCCTGGGAGAGGGCAGTCTAGTTTCTCCTCCAGTCTGGTCCTTTCTCTCTGTAACCCTAGGTGGTAGACCAGTTGACCAACACTTCCCAGTGAGTATAGGGCTGATTCAGAGGTTCATTTCCATCCCTCATTCCATGATTCCTCAGGAGAAAGCCTAGGAATGAGAGTGGCAATGAGAAGGCCCCTGTACCCTTACAGTAATCCCTGTATTTCACTGTGCACATCAGTGTAAAAGGCAGAGAGATGGGCAGACTCTAGAATGACTATGGGATGTGGGTATTATAAGGATTAAAGTGGTTTTTAATTCCTCTCTTTCCCTTCCTCCTCCTGTGATGGTCCTGAAGATCAACCTCAACTCAGGGTAACACGCATACTTGGCAGATGCTCTATCATTGATGACTTACATGCTTAGCCCCTGCATTGTTTCCTATTTCCAATATCTGTATTTGGTTTAAATTGATGACTTTTCTGAAGATGAGTGCATTATCTGTGCTGTGCAAATAATACTCTTTGATCTATTGGGAGGGACTCTCTGATCTTGACCTGATCTGAACCACATTATTATTTTTTGTTTTCTGCTTAAGAAGAAAAATGTATTTTATATCAATTTAGGCTTTTGTAATATATCCTTAGGAAATATATAAGTATGAAATGGCTCATTTATTTCTGGTAGCAAATTAAGCCCAAAATGATTTTCAATTCAGAGATATTTGCATTCTTAAATGACAGCTGAAGACATTTGTGAAAAAGCTGTTTAATGATCTAGCGAAACATGCGCATATACATAAGCTTGGCATTCATTTTTGGTATGGTATCTTTGCTCTTTTCTTATGAATATTATGGATGACAGACCTGCCTGAAAGATTAAACTCCTGTTCTAGGGTGCATTTAATAATATTCTTCTTTGTAGGATAATATGGATTGTTTCATGCTATTTCCTCTAGGACCTGGATTTGAGCAATTTCTTCTCATTTTGCTAATTCAAGACTATTCAAATTCTTATATGCCCATAAATCTCACAGCAAGAATAATAAAGCCAGGGCTAAACCTACATATATTAGTCCAAGTTTTACTGTTGTTATAATGTTTTATGCTTTCTGTAGTGTCAAATCAAACAACAGTGATATAGCAAGATATAAACTTTATCCTCAATAAAAGTACAATTTGTTAAATTTAAAACTGACTTTAAAGTTTCCAAAAATAAATTTTCTGGAATTTAATTTGATCAGGAGTCTGTATTCATAAAAGTCAGTAAGTTTAGTCTAACCAAATCTTTATTGAGGTCACCAATTCATTTCTCTGAAATGTCTTCAGATGGCATCACACACTGTCCAATTAAGAAAATGTCAAGTTGAATCTTAGTTTTCTGGGTGACTTTTCATCTTAGGATGGCCTCAATCATGATGATTTTTCTGAGACTGACCCATCGAAGTTCTACAAGTACGTGACTTTCCAAAAGTGGTCCTATTTTCATTGAGGATTATTTACTATGTCTGGAATCCTAATGCTTGTTGCTTTTAATGGGAGAAATAATACCAAAAATATTTTGACATGCAGCCAACAAAATTAATATGATCAACAAAGGAATGTTTTCAGATCTGGGGCTTGATCACTTTTGTTTCTGAGGTCATAGATTTGTTGCACAAACCCATTTTCCTCTCTCCTCCCTCCACACACATATGTACATAAGCACACACACACATACCTCCCCCACACAAATGTGCATGCGTATACTCAGACTCACAAATATATACACACTCTCACACCCTCACAGACACACACACACACACACACACACACACACACACACACACACACACACGCGCACACACACACACACACACACACTTTAATAACCAGGTCCCATTTGACTGTTCACATACACAGCAGCTCTGGGTGGCCACACCTTTCTGAGAAGCTGGCTTCATGACTACCCCTTTATTCTCAGTTTACGTTACAGGGCAACAGTAGCAAACGTTTCAATACTTGCAATGTTCCCTAGGAGTGTATCAACTGAGCAGGCAGGGAAAACATATCTGGGGGAAGTTTATTATTTTTCCACCACTATATTTGACAGCACCTTTGGAAAGTGAACAAAGGCGTACTGTCAGGAGGACAGACCTGGACAAAATGTTACTGTTTGTTCTTCCCAAGCACAGAGGTATATTTAAGCAAAGAAAGACATTCCATAGCTCTCTTGGGACTTCCTTCCTTTAGCTGAATTATACCAGCATGTTCACACCACTGTGATTCAAACTGGGCTGGAATTTAAAACGCAGGCTTCTATTTGCCAGAGCTTAAATACCACAGTTACAGAAGTTCATATTAGACTTCCGCTTGTCCTTAAAATGTCACAGAATATATAGAAAGAACTGTGTCGGCACATGGAATTACAGTAGAAGTCATGGAAATAAGAAGTGCCCTTGTGTGGCAGCTTCTGTACTTACACAACAAAGCCTCTAAGTCACCAGGAGTCACCTGGCTTCGGATTAGGTTTCCAATCCAGGCTCGCTGACACTCATGAAACTTTTGGCAAAAGGGGCTGAGTTTCGAGCAAGTCCAGGTAGAATACTGTGTAGCCTATGTGAAACTCGGTGGCCTTGACTAGGTTTCTCCTTGAGTTTCACATTCGAACAACCCAATGCTTCAAAGTAAAATAAAACAGAGGGGCCTGACAAGAAGGGGCAAACAGGACACCGAATGGCTCATCAGGATGGGATCACAGTCTCCCATCTCGAACACTTCCTTTTTCCCGATGTCTTTGATTTTGCATCTGCACTAACGGCCCTGCTGCTGGCTCTGGGAACACATCTGTACCTGGCCCTGCTCACCAAGCCTTCCCCCTGCTAAAAGGGACCATCCCTGATCCTCAGAGGTCCTTGGAAGCAGTGAAGCCCTCGCTCAGAGTAACAGGGGGACTCACAAGTTGACTGTTCACAGAAATAAGACCATTGATGTGTTCTTTATAATGTACATTCCAATAAGTCAAGTAGCAAGGCGATGATGCTGACCCTTTTCCAGGCTTTCCTACTGTAATCCACACGCTGGAGGGGAGAACTCCATGAACTTCCTCTGAGTCCTGTCTGGTGGCTATTGGCTTCTTCTCTTTACAAGGGTCACAGAACAGACTGTGTCAGCCCTGTAGAGTCACAGTCTGAGACTTCACAGCCTCTTCCTGACTGGATTAGGCTCCTAGCCGCCAACAGAACAGGAACCATACTACCAAGGATACCCAGAACAGTAGCTAACAGGGAGCTTTGAAAATAGTCAAAGCTTTGGGGAAGAAAAGAGCAGGAAGCAAATGCAATGAGGTTTTGAAAGTCAAGACAATATTTTAAAGTGATTAACGATTAGTAAAAGTGTTAAGATTTCATCCATTTTTAGAAGGAATTTTTGTTTCATTAAATTCTTCATCCCATACATCAAAGAAGTTTCACTAAAACTTTTGGCTACTGAAGATTTTCTTTTTAATTTATTTTACTTTACTTTTCTTTTCTTTTTTTCTTCTGCCTTTTTCTTTTGTCTTATTCTTTTTGTTACTCAAAAGATCACCATGCCATTGAAATACATGTTTTTCTGTTTTTGTTTTTAACCAAAACTCTTTTGGTAAAAAGCATCTTGAAATGCCAAGGATTTCCATGCTCATGTTTTCAAAAGCAACAATTAGGTCTCAAGGCACATTGGTAATTTGGGGGAAGCAAGAGACTCCAGTACAAGTTGACAGAATTGGTTCTGTGAACTGTCCTTGATATTTGGTTTTAGATATCCTGAGCTATGAATTGTTAGAACAGTGGTTCTCAGACTGTGGGTCATGCCCCCTGGGGGTGTTGAACAACCTTTTCATGGGGGGTGTCTTAAGACCATTGTAAAACAGAGATGTTTACATTACGTTTCATAACAGTAGCAAAATTAGTTAGGAAGTAGCAATGAACATAATTTTATGATTGGGGTCACCACAACATGAGGCATTGTTTTAAAGGGTCATAGCATTAGGAAGATTGAGAACCACTGTGTTAGTCAATGTAATGAAAGTGCTTTGCAGGAGAACATTTTTCTTTAAATTGCAGGTTCCTTTAGAAATAAAATCTGAATCATAGCGGCAGAAGATGCTAAGCCAGTAAATTATCTGAAGGAATTGCTATCAAAGCATTGAGCGGGGGAAAAAAGCCTTTTTACTGAACATAGTAAATACAATCAAAGTAAATGGTGTGGTTGAGGTTAAAGTCCACAGATTAAAGTACTTCGCAAAATGTCAAGTACAAGTATAAGGGGGAGGGGGAGGGGGAGCCAGAATACTATGCAAAAAATATGTACTGTCAAAAAACCTGTCAGAAAATCTACCTCCTAAGAGAGCAGCTTAGCTAAATTTCAGCTTGGGGAAGGGGTTCTCAAAATCAGTCACCCCAAAGTGCACTAGACATCTAAAACTCAACAACAACGATGATGATAATAATCCAGTTCCCCAAACCACTTTCCATTCCACACCAGCTGTGAATAACATGCTTAAGACAGGAACATACTATAATATAGCCACCTCACTGTCTGTCAAGGGCAGTCGCTAATACACTGTCTTTCCTCAGGTGGGCTGCATCCTGCTTAAAGAATACCTTTAGAAGGTTAAAATAAGAAAGCAGTCTAAACAAGGAAATGATGGTGTCTAGAGGTCCTCTCACGTCTGTGGCAGTCACTCGTAATGAGGACTCTGGGGCAGTGCTCAGCAAGAGGAGTGTCAGTGCGGCAGCCACCCGGGACAGAGGGCTTTAGGCAAAGTTTACAATTACACTCTCAAAAAAAAAAAATGCACGATGCTGCCGCTGCATCCCAGGACACAGGGTCTACCTGGGACTCCCTTGGCTTCCTCCTATGTTCACTAAAAAGGTATTTTAGAGACACTAGTCATGACCACACCAGAAAAGAAGTCATTCCAGAGCAAAAACCTTACCTTGAAGAGGCTGAACTTCACAGTTGCTCCAACAGAGGAAGCACAAGTCAGGGGCCTTTTCCGTGTAGAGATTGTTTATGTAGCCCTTTTTAAAAGGTCTTGACCTCCAGAGGTTTAAGATTAAGTCCAATCCAAGCGTCTGCAGGGAGGAGAAGGGGGACTGGGGGTCAGGAGAGAAGGCAAACGAGAGAGGCAAGGAACTTCAGCTGCTGGGTGGTGCTTCTGGCCTGAGAGCATTTGAGCTATTTTCAGCATTACCAGCAGCTGGACTTGTCTGCAAAGGGATGAAAATGCCTTGCCCGAATCACCACCCCCACCCTGGGGGGGAAAACCAACACAAACCAGGAAACCCACAACAACTTGGTTCATTGTGCAAATATTCATTGAAATTTTGAGGGAAACTGAAAGCACTATTGAAAACACACACACACACACACACACACACACACACACACACACACACAGAGAGAGAGAGAGATTTGACTGAATCTTAAAGGAACACAGCACCTTGCTCCACCCCTGAGGTTTTCAGAAGGGTTTACCAGATCAGTAGAAAGTAAGACACTACGGTGGGCATTGGCAAGGAGACTTCTGATTACCCCCTTGCTTGCTCACAACGGGTCTTAGGCAACGTTTTAGATCTCTCAGGTAGGAACATCAGCTACCAGGCCACAGGCAAATGGTTTCTTTCTAGCGCACACCTACACGTCCACTTTAACTATGCTATTTTTGAAAGCTACTGAGTTAAGCTGATGACATTTCTTATCTATTGGCTAAGGCTGGGGTCCATCCAATGACATGCTGCAGAGAGACTTCTGCTGTCACAAGCCCAGTGGGGGGAAAATAACCATTCACTCTGGGTCACCATGATGGGCAAACTTAGAGAACTTTTATTTCGTTTTCAGAATGAATAGCCACAATCTAGAAGTTGTATTCCTGCATTCGTTCACTTTGTGGCAATTCATTCAATGGATGTGGCAAGCATTTCTCAGCTCACCATAGGCTGGGAACTCTGTGAATACAAAAATGGGCAGATCAACATTGCCTTGGCATTTACAGATTTATTATACTCAGGCTGTAAGAGTAAAAACAGAGCCAAGGTCTCTCTCTACCCAGACCGAAGGAAAGGACAGTGTGTGCACACTTCTTTCATCAGGCCTTCCCTATGTCACTTGTCCTAGCTACTGTCTGTTGCTGTGATAAACACCATGACCAAAAGCAACCCGGGGAGAGGAAAGGCTTGATTTTATCTTACAGATCATAGTCCTTCATCAAAGGAAGCCAGGGCAGGAACTCAAGGCACATACCTGAAGCCCGGAACTGAAGCAAAGACTACGGACGAATCATGCTTACTGGCTTGCTCAGCCTGCTTTCCTGTGTAACCCAGGACCACCGGTCCAAGAGTGGCCCCACCCACAGTGGGCTGGGCCTTCTCATATCAATCACTGATTAAGAAAATGCCGTACACGCGTGCTCACAGGCAATCTCTCAACTACGGTCCCCTCTTCCCAGAAGCCCCTAGCTTATATCAAAGAATTAGGCAGCACTTCCACTGGGAATGGAAGGCAGTGGCCCTACCAAGCAAATACTGCAACATTATTTTAAAAGCCTTGATTCCATGACGATGAATTCCCCCAATCTTTTTTTCCCCATGTATCCGGCAACACAGAAACATGTGAGGAGTCAGAAAGCAATGCTTTACTCAAGCGATACAAGAAGATTCTCCAGCTGTTGTGTGCTTTGTTTTGAGACAAATACAATTCCTTGGTTGCATTAATGACACGGGGAATGGCTTTTAAAAACATAGGGGGCCAAGCATGGTGGAGAGCAGTGTCATGTGACTCGTTTCAGCGTGTGTTGTAATGGTGAAATATTTCAGCTGAGTTCACCATATACTAAAATGATGCAGCTATTCTAATTTAAGAAAAACCTGACTTAAATTTGAGGTATCTAATTATAACCTTAAATAAGTTTAGCTTTGATTTTAAAATATTTACCAGTTTTAAAATGCCATTATAGAATACTGTATTTTTCTGCTTGACTAAATAGACTTATTTTACCAAGCATTACTTAATTACTAGTTTAAAATAGATACTTGTTTTACTTCTTGAATGACAATTCTACCAATAAAGATTTGAGATCTATTCTCAGACAAGTTTCTTAAAATTATTTTTCTTTTCTTTTTACAATATTTTATTTACAAAAAGAAATATTTTTTAAATGTGGCTCCTTGAGAAACTATAAATGTTAATGAAATAAATAAAGATGGACGATCTGAGTACTAAGTCAGCTATGATTTTTCATTCCCGGCCGCCTGCTTCCCACGCTAACCCCACGAGAAGCCTCATTGCCTCGGTCTTACCTGTGTGGTCATGTTACCTCAAAATCTGCACTCAAACAAAGAGGTTATGGGTCTGGTCCCTGCTTCCACTTAGCATCAATCCTGTGGTACACTGTGTCTCGCCAAAGTCTCCTTTGTTCCCAAAGATCCTGAGCCAGGATCCAAACAGCTCCTTCCAACATATTTGGCATCCCAGAGAGCAAATTAGACTTCAAGCATATTTTAAAATGGTAAAGGGTGGACTATTTTGTTTTTTCCATGTAACCACTGTGACTTTTATCTCAATGGCAACAGTAATTACATTCATTCATATTCTCTTTTCTTTTTAATATAAATCAGTTTCGAATAAACCATCAATGACTATATTTAAGTGAACCTCTGTCTTCGTCTGGAGATGTGAGAAACAATAGGTAAAATATCTGGGCAGAAATGTGGGCTCTAAGAAAGAAGGTCGGACCCTGACCTGAGGACCCTGATGAAAATCCAAAGTGGGGCCAGTTGCCTCAGTAGTAACTGAGCATCTTACATTCTGTGTAAGCACAAAATAGGCTTCCGATGCTGGACTATGAATGAGCTTTCCAAAGGAGATTAGTGAGCACAAAATGGAAGCAAATGTTGAAAGGCCAATCAGTTGGGCATTTTCTTTTCTCCTTCCAAATGCTTAGCAAGAATCTAGATGGTTCTGAGATCAATGTTGCATTAGAACCATGCCCACTTAGACACAGTTTGCGTAGACCAAACCGTCCTAGAGGGTATTTATACCCCAAGGGAGAATCTTGTTAACTCACATAACACCCCAATTAGAACCACTGGTAAGGCAGAGATATGATTTGGAAGAGAGAGAGAGAGAGAGAGAGAGAGAGAGAGAGAGAGAGAGAGAGAGAGACTTTTTGTTATTCTTTCCTATACTGCTGTACCACCCTAAATAAATGAATATGCCGGTTTTGAGTTTAATAACCTCATCAGCCTTTCAAATATACTCCTCACTTGCAAGTGGCCCAGAGGGCTCAGTGTTCCAGAGAACTTCATAAAAATAAATCCCCACTGGAAAGAACATCTGGGCTCACATTGGCACCACTCAAGGGTTTCCACTCAGGCTGAAGCTCTATGGCATGGCACTAGTATACCACAGAGGTGACTCTGGGTCCATCCCCCAGCACAGCAAAACAGACAGACAGAGACGAAGAAGAGACAAACAAGATGACCCCCTACCCCCAGTTTTCACTCGGGGCCTTACTTTTCAGGTGTTTTTGTTGTTGTTGTTTTGTTTTGTTTGTGGGGGTAATTTTAGAAAATCTTTAAAAACATGTAATGACTCCAGGCTCAACGGCTAATGTGTGGCTACATTTAGCAATTATTTTTAGACAACATGATGAGTTTAAGAATTTTTCTGTGCAACTTTCAATTCATGTAGTTTGGAACTTTTAAAAATTCTTTTCTCAAGAGAACTCAGACTTCTCAATTGATGCCTCATCATACCCTATTATTTGAGAGGGTCTGAGGAGGAAGGAAGCAGATGCCATTTTCCCAGGAATATTGTTTTCAGGAGTTCACCCCCCCCCCCCTTTGAAAACTGAGTTGTGCTCAGGATACCTGAAGGCTTCTGTAGCCTTCCTCAGCTTAGCAGCATTCTAATCCAGGAGAACAAGGTTTCATTCTCTCAGGCAAATGCGTTCGTGTTTGAGGCAGCAAGAACATCCAAAAGATGGGCACGGATTTCAAGGATGTATGGAAAAGGATGTCAGTCAGATTTTCTTACCATGGAGACTATAGAAATCTGATAAAACTGAAGTAAAGGAAGGCGTGCAAGAGACTGTAAAATACAGCTGAAGTTGGGCATGGTGGTTTGCTTCCGCCGCCATCCTCGTCAAAGTGAAGTGTGGGCGAGGAAAACGTTGCTCTTCGTTTCATTGTGCAGTAAGTACCCATCAGCTCATTCTCAGGTCTGCTGTGCCCTGAACAAAAATCAGTGCCCGAAGTTGGGAAACTGAACTCCAAGACAAGGGCCTGATCACTCACAAAGCCCTCCTCTGCACTTGCATTCTGAGGTAAACTGTAAGTCCTTGCCAGCACTAGAATCTGTTTCTATTTGGGGGTGGGGGGTCACACACATTCTAGAATCCAGACTCCAGAGAGTGTCAGAACTGGCTTAGAGTAGAGGATGCCCAGGTATCATCCACTCTGAACCGGCTGGGTGCTGGCTGGTGGGAGAAATCCACGTATCTTTTGAAGTCTCATAAGTTTTATCTGTTGGTTATTCTTAAGTAAGTGTATAGGAGAAACTGAGACTGATTTTTTCCCACTATATCACACACACACACACACACACACACACACACACACACACACAATACACAGAAAGACAGTCACACATACACACTACACAGAATGCTAGAAAAGTCTTTATAAATCATAAGGGTCAAGAATAAAAACCAGTTTGCCAGTATTCAAAACGCAGCAGGGCTGGGGGTGCACAAGGGAAAACTTAGAGGAAGAGCAAGTTCAATGCCAGCCTGGGCTACATAGCCAGATTCTATCTAAAAAAAAAAAAAAAAAATCAGTCAAACAAACAGACTCTATTAAGTACATAATAAAATAAAAACTTCTCCCCATATGAATGTAGGTTGGATATAAGAGTATTGTCCATGTTATGACTTTCCTAAACTAAAACCTTCCTGCCTGTTTCTGTTGCCCGTTGGCACGCTTATCCACACAGGTACAGATCTACCTTTAGCTCAATGCTCTCTATCAGTCCCTTTATTCTCAGATGGGACAGACAAGGCCCTCGTGCTAGATGC